AAAACGCACAGATTAAGGCGCTACCCTGACCAAAACCTGGCAAAAGTGCGTTTTTCAGACTCTATTATCTCATTAGTTATGAAAAATAAACTACATCTAAAAGTACATTATTAATGTTCGATATCTTATCATCGCATTCCACGTTCTAATTTATTTTTATGTGCTATAAATACATTTAAAATCAACTTTTAAAAAATGACTAAAATTCTTGATTACATGCATCTGTTGCTAAACGCAACGCTCTAATCATTTGAGGATAACACTAATGGATAGATAATGAAAAAATCTATATTCTCCACGTTTTATTTAAATTTTTAAGTTCGTTTTTTCTCTTTTATTTGAAATAATTCCGAAAATTGTGTGACTTCTATGATAAAGGGGCGTGCGCAGAGTGCGGGCGCATTACGCTGTATGCGTTTGTACGAGGTGGCCGCGTCGCTGGTGACCGCGTCCGTATTTCGCCGCAAACATAATATTATTTGAGTACCTACCAACCGATGCGCTTACGTCACGGTATATTGTAACTCGGCCGTATCTTAGAAATAAATCTTACAGCCATGCGGTACGTAAACATGCATAGGGCTGTCTGCCTCCAGCATTTTTACATTTGCCCATTGATTTATGTGTTTTATAACTCAATGCATTTTCCTACTTTGTGTTTCCATTTAGTTTTATGATTGTACTTAAATATACTTTTTTATATAAACAAATATATAATAGGTACTTTGTGAATTGAATAGGAAGTGTTCAATAAAAATGCGTGTCGTTTTATGATTGGTAGATTTAATTAAAAAACCATGTTTATGTTTGAATAACAAATCGGTCTTATAAATTTGCGGCCGAAAAATATTTGCGCCTCGGCTGAGACGTACGAAATGCTTTATTATTAAAATTTTAAATATAAAAAATCCGCATTATAATATAAAGCTTAATTAAAAATTGTTTTGGGAAACATGGACAAGTTGGAGTAAAGGAATATCTTTTACTCGGTTATAGATAACTGCAGCTACTTTACAATTTATATGTTTGGTTTTAAATGAAGTTTGGATTTATTATTTTTTTATTTCTATTCTATTTTCTGAAAGGGTCCTAGGAAAGGAATTATCCACCGGGCTGCCCCACTGCGTGTTGGCGAACTTTGCATGTCTTCGAAATATTTTTTTTCTTATTTCTCAGACATGCAGGTTTCCTCACAATGTTTTCCTTCACCACTGAGCACGTGGTAAATCAACACTTAAAATTGCAATTTCAATATTATTGGTGCCGGCGGGGATCGAACCCGGTTTGCTCGAACACTGTGAAAATTTTAGCAAGCGCTAACCATCTGAGCTACCACGGCTCCTCTCCTCTCGAGCTAGAGACTTTATTTTATTTATCGTCAGGCCTGTTGGTCTAGTGGTTAGTGACCCTGACTGCTATGCCGCAGGTCGTGGGTTCGATTCCCAACCAGGACAAATGTTTGTGTGATGAGCACCATCATTTGTTCTGTGTCTGGGTGTAATTTATCTATAATATTTATGTATTTAGAAATATATAAGTATGTTTATCAGTTGTCTAGTACCCATAACACAAGCTCTGCTTAACTTGGGACTAGATGGCGTTGTGTGATAGTTGTGGAATATTATTATAATTATATTATTATTGTTGGGGTATCTGTATAGTTTTCTCATCTGGTTGGTTTTTACAAATATATAACTATAAATTAAAATGAAAAGATAAATATACATAAATATTAATAAAATATGTACAAAAAATACACAATAATAGTTGATGAAATCAAGGCAAACTTAGGGTCAATTATTATTTTGATAATTAAACTAGTGAAATTCCGCGGTTTTATATGTTTTACATAAATATCCTAAAAAACTTATTATTTTAATATTTTACTAAGTACCTATAAAATTAACAAGTTTATTGCATTTTTATTTGAGTAATTTTTTATGCAATTTCTTTATCTACGTCTATTTTTAGGAACCTTTATTTAGTCTGAATCATACATAACACTATATTACTGATTTACTTACTTATACGTAGTTTTCTTTTTTTGCAGTTACAAATATCTTGTGAGGTTGAAAAAGGCAGTAATGAAAAAATAATAAGAATAATAATAATTGACGTCAGCCACTTCTTTTCATAAAAATTTCAGATCATGGTCCATTAGGTTGCAGCTTCACCGAACCACAACTTATAATAATAATAATAACAGTAATAATATAATATTATTTTGTATTTATTTTATTTTATTGATATTTATGTATATTTATCTTTTCATTTTAATTTATAATTTTTATATATTTAAATATTTATAGAACCGAACCAGATGAGAAAATTATACGGCTCCAACGATTTTAGCGACGATCGCTTGGATTTTTTAGAAAATATCCTTTTGTCCATGTTTTCAGGCAATAAAAAAAACTGCTACAATATAAGAAGGTAAATTTCGACAAAACACTAACGGTCCTTATAGCTCAGGTGGTATGTCGGTCGGGCGTGATATCGGAGTTCTGTGTTTCGCGTCTTGGCTTTGGTCCCGCTTTTTTGTTCCTTTTTTTTCAAGTTCCCTTCTTTTGTGAGAAAATCTATTATTTCAAACCCTTTTTTTTAGTAATTTTTAAAAATACGAAAATTTTAATTTTAAAAATTAAAAAAAAAATCTATTTAGTTACTAATGCTATATTTATTATTTTAATAATTACCTACCCAGTAGGTAAATATTAAAATAATAAATGTAGCATTATAAACAGTAAATCTCCCTCAAACTCTATTTACTAATATTGTTCCTGAATAAGGACTAGCAGATAAGAGATTAGTAGGTAATAACTATTGCTCCTCAAAATTATATTTGACCTCAAGGTAAAACATATCCTAAAATTCAGTAGCTAAATAAAATAATAATACCTACTATTCAAGTATATTCTCAATATGTAAGTAAATGAAAATAACAAAAAAGCACCATTAGCATGTAAAGTTCGAATCCATAATTAACATTTCGACAAATATTATAATTTACTCTATAAAAAGCTAATTCAATATTAGCAGTATAGTATATAGTTAAAAATAATCAAAATAGTCATTTTTATTAATTAGATAATATATGAGAATACATAATTCTAATATAATGCAACTAATATAAAGAAAATTAAAATACACATATCATCTGCCGTGTTTATTTCCATAAAATAGTTTATTGTCATTGATAAATTAATACTACGTTCGTACCAGTAGGTGGCGTCTTGCAGATTTCTACGCGATGTATTGTAGCGAGAGCGTCGGCAGGCCAAACGCTCAAGGTCGTTCGCTAGGGGTAAAGCCTTAAGTCAGAGCGTAAACAACATCGTCATACCGGTTCCTTGAGTATTAGTGAATTGAATGCGTCACAACATATGTTAGTTAGGTTCGCACAAATGCAATCGTTTCCGGACGTGTATAATAATTTAGTGAATAACATTAAGTTCAAAACAAATAGTAAACAGTAAAATCGTATATCCGGACTAAATGTATTTTTAGACGATAATAAAATAATTAGAGTTGGTGGAAGACTGTGTAATTCTACTTTTTTCAATTTTGATAAAAAAACATCCTATTTTAATACGTAGTAAGCTTATCTATACATTGTTATTGTGTAGGTACGAACACATGAGGCTGTTTCACGCGGGTCCACAGCTACTTTTAGTGACCATACGTGAGAGCTGGTGGCCATTAGGAGGTAAAAACCTCGTTCGAAAGATAGTGCGCGACTGTGTTGTGTGTACTCGTATAAGAGGTAAGACTTTGTGTCCTATTATGGGTAATTTGCCATCAGAACGTTTAGAACCTGGGTTCCCATTCATAAGAACAGGCGTTGATTATGCCGGACCAGTTTTCCTATTAAATCGTAAGGGCCGGGGATCTAGACTTATTAAAGCGTATATTTGTTTGTTTATATGTTTTACTACACGCGCTATGCACTTGGAACTTGTCAATGGTCTCTCAACTAATGATTATATTTTAGCTTTAAAACGTTTTATGAGTCGAAGAGGTAAACCAGAAATTATATTTTCCGATAACGGGAAAAATTTTGTAGGTGCCGAAAAGGAAATTTCTTCATTTTTGACTTGTAATTCAAAACAAATTATCGAATTTGCTGCTAATGATAGCATTAATTTTAAATTTATTCCCCCATACTCACCACACTTTGGAGGCCTATGGGAAAGTGGGGTACGATCGTGTAAGTACCACCTTAGACGTATAATAGGTAATGCTAGATTGACTTATGAGGAGTTTAGCACGGCTTTAACACAAATTGAAGCAGTCCTGAATTCCCGTCCTATGTCACCTTTGTCCGCAGACCCTACAGACCTTACACCTCTCACGCCTGCACATTTCCTGATCGGAAGGCCGTTAACTGCTACTGCATGCGAGGATCTTACAACGAAACCAATACCCGCGTTGACACGCTATAATAGAGTTGAACAATTACGTCAACATTTCTGGCAACGTTGGTCAAAGGAATATGTTGCAGAACTCCAACTGAGAAGGAAATGGAAAAAGCAAAAGGATGACATTCCATTACATTCTTTGGTACTGATCAAAGATGATAATTTACCACCGCTCAAGTGGAAATTGGGACGAGTCATACAAATCTTGCCTGGTAAAGATGGCGTATCTCGAGTCGCTGATATTCGCACCTCCAGCGGAATCGTTCGTCGTGCCTTCTCGAAAATCTGCCCCCTGCCGTAGCAACCATCGAATCAAGAAGCGGAACATCAAGTTGGAAGCTGAAGCTTCCAAGGCCGGGAGCATATTACGACTACTAACGCTACCTACGAGAGCGAACGCCCTCTGATGTCGTATCGTATAAAAAGCGAGTAGGTAGCTCTTGAAAGAAGCCTCAGGAGAAGCGTCCATTAATATTCTAAACGTCTAGCAAGCAACACAAATTTTGTCAACCACATATTATATTATTTCAAATTGTAATTTTAAATAAATATTTTTATTTAAAGACAAAATAAACGATTCATTTGAACCGGGAACCTGAAACTCGCACCAAAGTGGTTTGTCAGATCAAGGATCAGAAGTTTGAAGGCTATGGGTCGAGCAAGAAGTTGGCGAAGCTGGCGGCGGCGCGCATAGCGCTGGGCGAGCTGCACGCGGTGCCGCCGCGCGCCCATAGCCTGCCCAGCTCGCCCTGCGCGCCGGAGCCGTCGCAGCTGCTGGCCCACCACGTGGCCAGATTAGTAAATGATAAATTCAACGAGCTGATGCGCAGTGACCTGGTGCACTCCAAGCGAAAAGTGCTCGCCGGCATTGTGATTACCATCAACCACAGCATGGAAGGTGCTAGGGTAATAGCTGTGACTACTGGCACCAAGTGTGTATCTGGAGAATATATGTCAATAATGGGAATGGCCGTGAACGACTGCTATGCAGTGGTGGCAGCCCGTCGCTGTCTGCAGAGGCATCTTTACGCTCAGCTTCTGATGTATGCGTCTTCATCGGATCCCCGGAAGCCGATACCGCACTCAGACCTGGAGCCATTGCCTGACGGCGGGTACCAGCTGAAACCTGACCGTCAGTTACATCTGTACGTCAGCACGGCGCCTTGTGGAACGAGTCAGAGCCGGATGAACACCCAAACAGGCTCGCCCGTGGCCAGTTGAGGACCAAGATAGAGTCCGGGGAGGGCACAATCATTACAGACCTGGGACGGAATTTTGCAGGGCGAGCGGCTGTTGACGATGTCGTGCTCGGACAAGATGGCGCGCTGGTGCGTGGTGGGGCTGCAGGGCGCGCTGCTGACGCGCCTGCTGCGCCCCGTCTACCTGCACGCGCTGGTGCTGGGCTCGCTGCTGCATCCCCAACATCTCTACAGAGCAATAGGCGGCCTACTACTACTACTACATCTCATCTCTTCCCCCCTCGTTCCGGCTGCAAAGACCGATGCTGGCGCGCGCTTCTAGCACAGAAGCTCGTGCAACGGTCAGGGCGCCATCGTTCAGCGTTTGCTGGAGCTGCACCTCCCCAGTGGCAGAGATAGTGAACGCGACCACGGACAAGCTGGAGAATGGTCAGCCGTCGCTGCTGTGCAAGCGGAACATGTTTGCGAGGTGGCAGTACTTAGTAACCAGACTCCCACTATTACCAGTTCTTCGCTCGCTGCGAACCGGTTTGGACGCTAGACCGATACGCGTGTTTCCGACGACTAAGTACCTACTTACGTTGAAAAATATAGTCAGCTTACGTACTTCGTTACTTAATTATAATGAAATGGGTGAAGTGTACGAAGTCAGTAACTAAAAAGAATCCTGGATTGCAGTGCACTAAATGTAACAAATGGTTACATGCGTCGTGTGCGGGTATATCTATGGAGCAACTAAATGCGCTCCAATCTACAGACTCTGTGGATTGGAAATGTCGCTCATGTGTAGGTAATGCAAGACCGAAACGCATCTCTTGCATCGTACCGGACCCAGAGGATGACGAAAATAATGACACCGAGACGTTAACTAACTGCGTGTCAGCTGAGATCATCATGGAGCTCCGACGAGAAATACGAGAAACGATCCGCATAGAAATGCAACAAATGCAATCCACTCTGCAATTCTACTCGGATAAGTTCGATGATTATGAGGTAAAAATGAAGTCTTATGATATACGAGTCAAGATGCTCGAGAACCAATACAACGATCTCATAAACCAAAACAAAAACCTAAAAGTACAACATGGGGCACTGGAGCAACGTATCACGGTTTTGGAGCAAGCACAACTTGCTAACCAGCTTGAGATTTGTGGCATCGCGGAGGAAGAAAACGAGAACCTAACGGATATCACCTCAAAAATCTGTGATACTTTTAAGCTCAATCCTGATGACATCATTAAAGCGTACCGCAAAAAAAGCTTCAATAAAAAAAACTCTAAGAAACCGCAGCAAGCAGCTATCGTGATCGGACTCCGTGAAGGCAACCGAGACCAGTGGTTACTTGCCTCTATGAACACCCATAAGACCTGCAGGGACATTGGTAAACAGGGTAATAGCAAAATATATTTCCGTGAGTCACTCTCATCCCACATTGCTTATTTGCTATGGAAATCCAAATCTGTTCTCAAAGAAACTGGCATATATAAATATGTGTGGTGTAAAAATGGCCATATTCTAGCACGCAAAAATGAGAACGAAAAGATTACCAGAAACCACTCAGAAAGTGATATTGATAAACTGAGAATCATGTCAAAAGATGACAAAAATGCATCCACTTGAGCTCTGTCCTACGTACGGTTGTTTTACCTCTATGTTACTTTGTGTACCTACCGACCTATGTAATTATAAATGGCTTCAACGGATGATTGTTTCCAAACAATACAAGAAGATACTCATACAACTTGGAGCAATTTCATAAATAGTGTTGATTATCGTAATAGTAATCACCTAAATGTACTCCATGTAAACATTAGGTCTATGATTAAAAATTTTGCCCACCTAGAACATATAATATCTTCGAGCCCTCATCTTGTAGATATTATTGTATTGACGGAAGCCAACATATCCGATAACTGTGTAAATCTTTTTCATTTGACTGACTATGACATGTACTCACAACTACGACGCTATCGGAAGGGAGGTGGTGTAATACTGTATGTGCATAGCAGCCTAAGATTCACACGAACACTTGTCGATACTGCTTATTTCGAGTGTATTACCGGTGAAATTCATTCAGACTACGGTCTTAAACTAGGAATTTGTGCAGTGTACAGACCCCCGGACTTGGACAAGTCCCGTTTTATTGACGAACTATCGGGTGTTGTTAACTTGTGTTCGCGCACATATAGCTATATTTTATTAGGCGATATGAACATTAATATTAAGCAAAAAACGTCTATTCAAAGTCATTACTTGAATGTTATGAGTGCACTTGGACTGGATTGTGCAATTACTCAATACACCCGTGTGGAAAATAGAGATAATTGTCTGACTAAGTCCTGTATTGATCATATTTTTGTTCGTATAAGTAACTGCAGGGATGTATATTCTTCAGTGATCGATTATAAGATCGCTGACCATTACATAACTGGCGTAGTTTTACTTCACAACACGCAATGTAAACAAAATAATTTTAAGTTAATAACAAAAATTGATAACGACATGTTAAAATCGGAGTTATTGAAAATAAATTGGAAGTGTGCTTTAAAATTAAATAGTCCGTGTGAAGTTTTAAAATTTATTACATCCAACTTTAGTGAGGCATATAAGAAATGCACGGTTAAAACTAAAATTAAATTAGGGAAGAGACATGAATGTACTTGGGTTAACAGTAGAATGTTATATATGTATAATAAAAAGTTAGAACTATTTAGTATATGGAAACAGGACGAAAACAACAAGCAAAATAGACTATTGTATAATAAATATCGAAACAAAACTAATAAATATATATATATATAAATGTAGAAATAATTCAGTAAGAAAAGAGGTTCACGCCAGCTTTAGAAATAGTAGAAAAGTATGGCAAATAATCAATAATGTATGTGGGAAAATATGCAACGCTGTAGATGATGTAATTATGAAGCACTTTAAGTTGGATGTTCGTTCATTATGTGATAAATTTGCTTACGGATTTGAGGAAAATGTAAACAATAGCTGCGTAAGTTGTAATGTACCCTTATTACCCCATACTACTTACCAAAGAGTACCTGATGTCTGTATGAGACTGAAACGTGTTACTGATAGGGTTATATTTGCTATAATTAAACACATGAATAAGAGGAAAAGTCCTGGTTTAGATGGCATCAGAATGAGTGACATACAGAGTATAAACTCTGAAATAACACCCGTTATTACTCATAAATCTATTTATTTCCACGTCCTCATATCCCGATCCATTGAAGACTGGCATAATTAGACCTATTCATAAAAAAGGATGTTACAGTGACATAAATAACTATAGGCCGATTACAATCCTACCCGGTATAGACAAGATAGTTGAAAGGTATTTATGTAATGAATTAAATGAATTTTTGTCGAAAAATAATATTATTAACAATAAACAGTTTGGTTTCATAAAGGGTCGTAGTACTACAAAATTATTATCAATTTTCACCGATGAGGTCAACAGGCACCTGGACGCTCGCGAACATGTGCTTGTTGCACTCATCGATTTCAGCAAAGCTTTTGACTGTTTACAATATGATGCTATTTTGTAAGTTCGAACAGAATGGTATACAGGGTCCTCTGCTGGGATGGTTCAAAAATTATCATACTAATCGAAACACGGTTGTTCGCGTGGGTAACTGCCTCAGCGACAAAAGACCAACTGTAATGGGCACGGCCCAGGGGTCCATAGTCGGACCCACTGAGTACTTGCTGTACGTAAACGATATGATCAACATCCTTGCGGAGGACTCTGTATACCAATTTGCTGACGACACATGTTTAAAAACTCATAATAAGGCTGTCACCGAGGCAGAGTATGCAATGCAACATAACTTTGACAATTTATGTAAGTGGGCACATGATGCAGGTCTGGTGATTAATGCTAGCAAAACTAAAATAATTCACATTCACTCACCTTACATGAAGGTTTCGCACGTACCCTGTATAACAGCGCACGAACACCAGTGCCTGCATCGTGGGCCTGTTGCCGGCTGCGCGTGCCCGAAGTTACAGACTGTACCGCAACATACATACCTCGGTCTTATCATAGACCAGCACTTCCATTGGGGACCTCATATTGAAAATGTCGCTAACAAGCTCAGAAGCATCAACGTCAAATTGTCTATTTTGAAATATAAGTTACCTTTCTACACGCTACGTATGCTGTACCTCGCTTTGGCTGATTCTGTCATAGGTTATGGATTGTCTAGTTACGGACGAACCTATAGAACGTATTTGGATACTATATATCGGCTACAAATAAGTATACTTAAAAATATTGCACCTAGGCATATTAAAACTAAATACAGGGATGATGACTCTGGTTTGTTCCGATATTGTAAAGTTATGTCGGTCTTCGATAAAATTAACATATCAATTATATTGGACAAATACCATAGTATTAACTTGTTGACGAAAACCAGTAGGCAAGCCGGATTGCGGAATCTGGATTACTTACCAACTTATAAATTGCCAAAAACAACAAACGTGTACGGAATGAGAACGTGGGAATACATACTACCTGATGTAATCAATAGTTTGCCGAAAGAAGTCCAGTCGATCGTACCAGTGAAAATTGAAAAATGTAAACAAATTCTAAAAAAGTTCTATATAGATGGTAATTACTGATAGGTAAATGTTTATTTATATAGGTATATGCATAGCGAGCGAAATCTCCTCCACTGTCGCATAAACTTATTTAAGTTTTAGTTAAGTGGATACTTTGTAATTTTTTTTTATTTTTCATGTAATTTGAACAATAAATTAAAAAAAAACCTCAGGAAACCGAGACGCGCGTAGGTAACAAATCGGAGCCGCTAGACTTGGAGAATCTGCCATACAATGAGGCCAAACAACTGTGCACCACTTATCAGGTAGCTAAAGAATGTCTGGTGGAGGCGTTCGAGAAAGCCAACCTTGGACGGTGGATGAAGAAGCCAATCGAGCAGGATAATTTCGTCTGTGACATACACAACCCAGATCCAAACGCTCTGTTCGTCTAAACGGGCAACATCCTACATGTCCGTAACACTGTGCAGGTTACAACTTGGATTTAATCTTAAATATTAAATCGTACGAGTACAAATAAATTAATAAAATATATATTAAAATGGTACAAAAAAGTTATTATTCATATAATTCAAATATGAAAATGAAAATGAAAAATGATTTATTGATTTACAATGATACATTTTAAACCAGTCGCAAGGGCCCCTGTACTAGGTTGGGAACCTGTATTACTGGGTACCCCGCTCATCCACCAAGACAATACAATGTTAATCAATAAATAACAAAAAGCAAGGCAAGATCTAGCATTAGGAAGTAAATGAAATTTGGAATATAATAATATTTACATGATAAGCATGCATGCAAAGCATGCACGCGTTTGTGTGTGTGTGTGTGTGTGTGTGTGTGTGTGTGTGTTTTTTTGTTTGTGCATGTGTGTGTGTGTGTGTGTGTGTGGGTGTGTGTGTGTGTGTTTTTTTTGTGGTTGTGTGGTAGTGCTTTAACAATTGGTGCGGCTGTTCGAAGTATAAAAGTTATGTAATTAATTGTTCAGTTTCCTCGTAGTTTAGTGTTAATAAAAATTGTGTCACTACACGTTTAACTTTAGTCCACGTCAAGGGGTAAATATTCAATCTGCTGTTGAATTTGTTGTAAATAGTTATAGATTGGAATACGTATTGCTTTTGCTTAAACTTTGTTTTATTTTGTGGTATATTGCAAATTTTGGTACTCCTACGTTTTGGTATCTGATGAGGTATGAAAGGTAAATGTCGATGCTTTATTAAAATGCAATTCAATATATACATCTGGCGATTAGTAAGCAATTTGTAAGACTTATGTAGTTCAAAAGTTGAAAATCGAAACGGTTTCAAGAACATCACCTTAATTAGAGCTCTTTGAGCTCTTTCTAGTCCTATTAGATGTGTTTTTGCTGCACCACCCCAAACAGGTATGCAATAACTCATTACCGATTGCGCTAGAGCTTTGTAGGTGGTGATAAGAGTTGTTTCATTTGCAACACACCTGAGTTTTTTAAATACCCATGTTAGTTTCCTTATCCTGTCAGCAATGTTTTCAATGTGTTGACTCCAGGTAAGGTGCTGATCAATAGTTACACCGAGATATTTGATGGTACTAGTCTTAGTGATTTTATCACATGAGCAATTATTATTGCTATCTAAATATGGCTTATGGCAGAACTTATGAGCTGTTAGGTTAAATTTGGAATTTGGTTGTGTATTTTTCCATATAGTAAAAGGTATGAATTTAGTTTTGTTAATGTTAAGGGTCAGAAGGTTCCATCTTAGCCAGTTAGATATATGGTGTATTCCGGAGTCAGCAATAATCCTTAGATTTTCCCATGATTTTGCGTTAAAAATGAGAGCAGTGTCATCTGCGTAGGTGTATATTTGTGTCGGTCATTGTAATAGTGGTGTAACTCCATAATATTAAAAAAAATTTATTTTCCCATAGTGGGCTCACAATGTATCATATCTTTCAATATAAAAATGAAGCAACTCCACTGATACCACTAAAGTGACGTAGATGTCGCTATTTTGTTTAGTCTAGGAACAGATTTGTACTGTTATTCACTATAAAAGTGAAGTATGTCCCAAGTCACTTTTATAATGAAGTAAGTCCGGACTTGATTCACTTTTATTGCGACCGATTGTTGTCATCCGTTGTACGTGTTGTGATAATTATTAAAAAAGGATTTTCAAAGTCGGTGTTTTTGTGGGATTTTAATACAATATGTCTAATACAGAAGATTTTAGTGATTGTGGTTCTGAATATCAGCCTATTCCTGGAGAAATTCATACAGAATCTGGTAAGTTATATTTTTATTAGTTGTTTTTCTAACTTGGGGGATAAGTCGCTCGCGTCCGTAGGGGGGGATAAGTCGCTCGCGTCCGTAGGCTTTGACCACCTATTCCTAGGCCCACCCTACACGTGTCCCCCGGGTGGTGCTAAATGAGCGACAAGCCGATAGCACAGACTCGGCTCCACGCCCTGGTAGAGGCGTAAAATATACCACCCTTTATCCGCACCATGAGGAACAATATAATAGAAATGGCCCCGAGTTCCCGGCGCCCCTTTAATGGGGCAGGGGTGCGAAGAATCTCCGGGAGGAAAACCGGCGACGAGGTTCGCCACCCGTCACGTTCTGTCTCCCGGAGAGGCGAAAAGTGGATTGCAGAGGTCCGTCTGGCTACGTTGAATGTATGTGGGGCAATGAATGATAAAATGGATGAAGTATGCGATATGATGAATGATAGAGGAATAGATGTGTTATGTGTAAATGAGACGAAAAGGAAGGGAAAGGATGTCACTACACATGGCATGTATACCGCATACTGGTCTGGTGTAGACGAGATCGAGCGGGCATGCCAGGGAGTAGGTATCATCCTTTCAGAAAGAATGGGCCAATGTGTGAAAGAGTATGAATGTGTAAGCCCAAGACTGCTGTGGATACGAATGAAAGTGGGCTTAAAGAAGTTGTTTGTGTTAGGGGTCTACGCCCCAGACATGTCTAAGCCCACTTATATCCGAGAGCAGTTTTGGGAAATGGTAAGGATGGTGTTAATGGAGTGTAAGGGAAATGAAAATATTATTATGCTAGGAGATTTTAATGGAAGGGTTGGGGTGAGGAGGCTTGGTTATGAAAGGATATTGGGAACGTTTGGTGATGAAAGTATAAATGAGAATGGTGAAAGTCTCCTCACCGTATGTATGGAAAAGAATCTTTTTTGTGACGAACACTTGCTTTCGCCACAAGAGGATTCACATGTATACTTGGGAAAGAGGTGACGATAGAAGCATGATAGATTTAATAATTGTGGATGAAAGATTGAGGGGCGCAGTTGTAGATACAAGGGTTTACCGGGGTTCTAACGTAGGAACGGATCATTATTTGGTTCTATGCCGAATTAATGGTCTATTCAGGCGTTGGCGCCATCGGTCATCTGTGTCTACCACTGCGTTACAGCGTATTAGAACAGAAAGGTTACAAGATGAAGGTGAGAAAAAGAAGTTCAAATGTAGACTGAAAGAAAATATAAGTGGTTTGGATGAATTATGTATGAAGGAGTTAGACTTGGAGAATGTATGGCAAAATGTAAAGAAAGGTTTAGTGGATGCAGCTACCGAAGTATGTGGTGTTAGTAAGAGAAAGAATGAAAGGAAAAATAATACGTTATGGTGGGATGATGAGGTACGTATGGAAGTTGAAGCAAAGAAGAGAGCATGGCTAGATTTACTAGCAACAAAGGCTGGTAATTCTAGCGGTACGAATGATGATATTGAAAGAAAAAAGGCAGTCTTTAGACATCTTAATAAGAGAGTAAAAGAAGTAGTTGAAAGAAAAAAGCAAGAAAGAACGGATAAGAATGATAGAAGAATATCGGATAATTTCCAGGCAAATATTAAAATGTTCTGGAAACTTGTAAGAACTGCCAGGGGACATTCAAAACAGCCTATGATGAATGCTATAAGAGACGAGAATGGCTATATTCTGAATGATGAAGTTTTGAGTTTAAAGAGATGGAAGGAATATTTTGAAAGCGTGTTTATGAGTGAGGAGACAACGTGTGTACTAAGTGAAGTAGAAATTCCGAAGGAAGAGGAAAGAGGTAGCGAGATTAGTGTAGGTGAAATAATGAAAGCAATGAAAAGCATGAAAGCAGGTAAGGCTGCCGGATATGATAGAGTTTCACTCGAAATGCTAAGGGCTGGAGAGGAAGTGGTGGCAGGCCTGCTGCACACCTTGTTTAATTTATGCTGGGAACTGAAGCGGGTACCGGTAGACTGGTGCAAAGCCGTGATAGTCCCAGTATATAAGGGAAAAGGGTCGCAGCAGGACTGTAAAAACTACCGTGGCATCAGCCTTCTTAGCATTGTGGGAAAACTGTATGCTAAGGTACTGATTGAAAGGGTCATGAAAGAAACTGATGGAAAAATTTGGGATGTGCAAGCAGGATTTAGAAAGGGAATGGGATGTACAGATCAAGTCTTTTCCATGCGCACGATCGGGGAGAAGTTTTTTGGCCAAAAACCAAAAGGTTTTTTGTGCGTTCATGGACTTGGAAAAGGCCTATGACAGAGTGAATAGGGATGTGCTATGGCAAACACTGAACTCATTTGGGTTGAGCGCTGGCTTGATACGGGCATTGGAGTCCCTTTATAGGGACTCTAGTGCTTGTGTTAGGATCAACGGGGTCTACTCGGACTGGTTTGACATCCATAAAGGTGTCAGACAGGGCTGTGTAGCTTCCCCGTGGCTGTTCAACCTATTTATGGACAGTTGTTTGCAAAATTTGAAAGTTGAAGAATGCGGATTAAGAATGGGTGAGTTAACCGTCAAATGCCTTTTGTACGCCGATGATCAAGTTATACTTGCGTCGTCGGCGGCCGAGTTGCAAATGATGGTTACATTAATGAACAGATCATTAAAAGAAAGGGGTATGAAAGTGAACGCAAGTAAGACGAAGGTTATGGTTTTTGAAAGAGAAGAAAGTAAAACGATTTGTGAAATAAGAATAGAAGGGGAGTTGATCGAGCAAGTAGACGAGTTTGTATATTTGGGCTGCGTATTTAGCAGGGATGGGAAATATGATAAGGATATAGAACGACGAGTGAATGCGGGAAATAGAGTAAATGGGGCCCTGCACTCTATTGTGAAGAGTCAAAATGTGTCGAAAAAGGCACGTATGGCAATTCACAATGCTGTGTTGGTCCCTACTTTAACATATGGTAGTGAAAGTTGGGTGTGGCAGAAGAAGCACGAGAGTAGAATGAACGCAGTAGAAATGCGGTCGTTAAGGAGTATGTTAGGGCTGAATCTTAATGACAGGGTAAGAAATTGTGTAATAAGAGAAGAGTGTGGTTTGCAAGATGATGTTGTGACCAGGATTAAGAAAGGAATGCTTCGGTGGTTTGGTCATGTGGAAAGAATGAATGAGGAAAGAGTGACAAAGAAAATTTATGTTGCAGAAGTGAATGGCAGAGTCGGAAAGGGACGTCCTAGGCGAAAATTTATCGACCAAATTGGCGATTTATTGAAAACGGGCCAAATTAGGAGTACCCTTAACCGACGAGCATGTATGCGGAGGTGTATGGATGTGAAGGAGGCGAGAGAGGTGTGTCAGGATCGTGCCAAATGGAAGTCTGTAGTCTCTGCCTACCCCTCTGGGTGACAGGCGTGAGTGTTTATATATGTTTTTCTAACCTAAAAATATTATGATAACTTTCAAGTTTATAGACAAGAAAATACGATATCTAACAATATATTTTCTATTTAGTTATGTCCTAGAAATCACTATTATTTTATTGGTTTCGTTTTTATACTTGTTTCAGAAACAGATACAAGTTGTGACGAAAATATTATGATGCCGTCTAGTCTATCAGAACCTGGAACATCTAAATCTAGAAAAAGGCCAATCAACAAGAAAAATTGGAAAGTTATAAAAGAAAGTTATTGCGTAATAGTGGAAAAGGTTATGTAACTAAAATGGGAGAAAAATACCAAAATCTTCGAAAATATTGACTGTGGATGTCCTAAAAAGTGTTATACGCTTTTTACAGAAAATGAAAGGCAAGAAATGTTCGAATCATTTTTGGAATTTAAAGGACTTTAATCAGCAAAATGCCTTTCTATATGCATTAGTGCAAAAAGCATCTGTTAATAGAAAACGACCTAAAGATCTGTCACGAGCAGGAAAAAACGTTTCGTTTAAGTATTTTCTCAAATCTCATATTATGACACAACTGGTATGTAAAAAATATTTTTTGAAAACATTCCAAATCAGTGATGGAAGATTATATCGCTGTCTATCAAAAGGCGATGTCTCGCAATGTAAAGATAAACGAGGCACGACTAGTACTCGAAAATTAGATGATTCTGACATTATTGTTCATATACAAAGCTTTCCCGCGTACCAAAGCCATTACACAAGAAAAGTAATCCTAACCGGAAGTTTTTAAATCCTGGGCTAACTATTCGAAAGATGTACGATCTATATAAAGAAAAATGTTTGACTGAAATGACAGAACCTAAAAAATTTAAATATTATAATAAAGTTTTTAACACCAAGTTTAATCTACATTTCAAGGCACCGCACCAGGATACATGTAAGACTTGTGATAGCTTGAATTTTAAAATTAGAGGCACCGATGACGAGAACGTGAAGAAAGAGTTTGAAGTTCAAAAGGAACTTCATCAAAGAATGCACTGGACAAAATCGAAACATTAAGACTACCCTTTCCCTTTTAAAGCTCGTACAAGACCCGGATACTAGTATAACCACCATAGACCACAAGTTTTTAGTGTCCGGGCATTCTTATTTGCCTAATGATGGGCAATTTGGGATAATTGAGAGCGCAAGTCGCCGTCATGGACAAATTTATAGCCCGGATCAATGGATTGAGATCATAAAAACAGCCAAACGCAAAGAATCACATTTTGTTGTAACTGAAATAAAAAATTCCGAATTTATAAGCACTGCGGCATTAGAAAAATCTATTACCAACAGAAAAAAAACAACCTGTGGTTACGACTTAAACTGGCTGAATATTAGATGGCTGAGGTTTGAGAGGAATCATCCTTTACAATTTCAATTTAAAGAAACGCTCAACGCTGACATGCCCTTCTACAAAGTAGATCTATCAAAAAAGCAACAAGGACGACCAGCTTACTTGTGCAATATTCAACAAGGCCCACTCTATCCTTCAAGAAGACCAGTTACTATTGCTAAGAAGAAGGATATGCTTGATCTTCTCCCATACATTCCACCAATTTACCATCAATTTTACAAAAACCTTACTGTAGACATTCCAACACGGTCAAGCACACGTAATGCTGATGAACGTTCGTCTGATGACGAAATAACCTACGATTAACCACTTAACGAAATCACAATAAGTATAACTCGTCACTTTAACAGTGAAGTAAGTCCACAAAAAAAAATTATAATTCGTTTCATTAAAATAACTTCGTCTTATTTTTAAGTAACTATATACTATTATAATATTTCATTTGTTAACTACAATAAAAAATATAAAGCATTGAATAAAAATTTGTAGTTTTTTTTTCTACGCATTAATTAACAAAACTCTTAATTTCTCAAAACTTCATTGCATGGAGATAATTCACTATTACAATGAACGACACATTTGACAATTTTGTAGGCTTAAATTGCATAGATCGTTGACATAGATTAAAAATAGAGTAGGTCCGACGACGCTACCTTGAGGGACACCATAAGAGATATTTGATGGACGGCTAAGATATTCACCAAGCTTGAGCTGTTACTGACGTTCGGTAAGATAGTCTGTTAGAAGGGCGTGAGGCAGACCTCTTATTCCATATTTATATAGTTTGTCTAACAGGATAGGAATAGAAACGGTGTCGAACGCCTTGGCCAAGTCCAAAAAGACTCCAAGACATTTGTAAGAATAAGTAAGCAACTGGACTCTGGTAAGTCCAGTTGCTTACTTATTTCTTCAGTTAAAGCTAACACAGCGTCCTGAGTAGAAATTCCATTTCTAAAACCAAATTGGTTTTTAGAGAGCAGGTCGTTATCTATGAGATATTTTTTCAATCTATTGTTTATTAGTTTCTCTAGTATTTTTGAAAGAAAGACAGAAATTGGTCTGTATCTGTAGTTGTCCACATCATCTTTACTTCCACTTTTATGTATAGGGGTTACTAATGCCCTTTTAAATGTCATGGGAAATCGGCCACTTTTAAAGCAAAGATTGCAGATATGGCAAATTATAGGTGTATGGGTGAGTCTGGCCATTTTAATAAATGATGTAGGAATGTTATCCCATCCTGGGGCAGACTCATTAGAGAGATCGCTTATGACCGAATTTATTTCCAACGGGTCGGTATCTAGAAGAACAAAAGAATTCATTGGAGTTGGCATTTTAGTCATGTAATTATTTACTATAGGAGGGGCAGAGTTTTTTTAAATTTTCAGCCAAGTTTTTGCCTATACTAGAAAAGTGATCATTAATAAAATTTGCAGATTGTACAGGGGAGGACGCAATAGTTGTAAGTTTATGTGTGTCGTCAGTATTATCTTTATTAACATAGCAAATTGATTTAATATTTTTCCACAGCATTTTCGGGTTATTTTTTGCATTATCCAATTTTCTCCTTTCATAATTATTTTTAAGCTTCCGGACAAGCTCATGACAGTAATTTCTATAGCGTATATACGTTATTTTTAAAATGTGATTATCAGGATTTTTTTAACTTTATAATGTAATTTATCTCGATTTCGAAGACATCGTAATACTGCAGGTGTTATCCATGGCTGAATACAGCGTTTTCTAACGGGAATTGTGGTTATCGTTTGATTATTTTTCATTGCTACTGAAATTATACTAACCAAAGAATCAGCAGCCAGTGTTGAGTCATGTATGTCTAGTATTTTTATAAGCTTGGACTTTATTTCATCAAGAGTTGTTATATAATTTACGGAAACCTTAGTTTTCGAAAGATTGCGGCGCACAGGCTTATTCATAAGGTTTAGGAGAACAGTGGAATGATCAGTAGGGGCATTAGTGAGTACGAGAGATTTCGTTGGGTGAAATGTTTTTAGCATCATATGATCATAGCACATTTTGTCACGAGTTGGAAGCCTATGAGCAGGAAGCAATCCATGGTAAGCAAGTGAGGTTAAATAATTGGGGCAGTTAGTGTCTATGGAGCCGAATTTGATATCTATGTTTATATCACCGGTTAAAATAACGTTTTGATAACTTTTATAACGGCGGAGTAAGGTTTGAAGAGATGAGGTGAAGTCGTCAGTGTTTCGTATTGAGGGTGTACGGTATATACCTATTAGAACTGTATCAGTTAGGGTAAGCACAAGACAAGAGGCATTTCAATGCAAGGTTCCGATATTTTGTAGTTAAGTTTCTTATGTATGTAAAATACCACGCCGTCACACTGATTTAAAGTGTTTTATGTAAAATATTTATTATAGTCATTATTAAGTGTTGGAATGGGCTTATTTTTTGAAAGATGACACTCTGTCATTCTAGTATGTCGCAATGAAATATGTCTCATAAATGCCTATCAAATATTTAAAATTCATAATAAATCGTCAATTTCGTATTATTTGTACTGAATAAAACTGTTAGAATTATTACTTCTAGCCAAACCCACAGTCGTTGCCCAACCCACAATATGACATGACAATCATTTGCCTCAAATTTTGCCATCTGGGGCATTTTATTGTAACATCATTTTGCGACAATCCCTGACAGACTACTGAATACTGATTCCAAATAATAATGATATTAATGAAGCAAAATGTTTTACTATCAACTATGAAATCAAGATTGCTCATAGTATGAAATGAAATGATGATTTATTTGCTTTGAAAAAGGGTACATTTAGGTGGTTATTGAAAAGTTTAGTTCAGCTTTTTCAGCCATCTATGGATAGCATTCAAATACATTTTTTATAATTAAGTTTTCCTATGTTAAAATATCGAATTCAATTAAAATATTTATCATAAAATAGTCATCATTTACAAATTACTAATACTAATACTACATACAAATTTAAAATAATTAAAATTGAAAATGCAATTAAAAATATAGAACTACTGTTGTGTCACATCATGTCAAAAGTCATTCACATTATAAAAACAATGATCATTTAGCCACCTGTAAAGTCTTTTATATTTTGGGGTATTTTATTAAATATGAGCATACACATCCAGTAGCAGTTTTTTTTAAACCGAGTACTCTTGGGTATAATTTCAGCAGCAACTCTATTGCCATTTTTGGAATAATGCGTATAAATCTCTTTCGCTTGTCTGAAATAATACATGTTTTGTTCTACAAACTTTGCAATTTCAAAAATGTACAGGCATGGTAGGGTTAGTATTTTCAGAGACACAAATAGCGGCCTGCAAGGCTCATCAGGTGCAGTGCCACATATTGCTCTAACACATTTTTTTTGGGCAATGAATGCCTTTTTTGCATCTGTGCTATTGCCCCGATACCGTACCGTACCGTATCCAGTATATGCCGTATTTTTGAGGCTACTTTGCTTAGTTTATAAAGTGCGTACGAAAATCTATTTATTTTTTTACAAACATGTTCAACTTGACATTTCCAATTTAGTTTTTGATCTATCCATATACCTAAAAATTTTGTCACATTTGTACTTTTTAGTGTTTGTCCTTCAAAATTAATGTTCATTGTCTGGTTTAATACGTCATTGAAATTTATTAAATAAGTTTTGTCAAGATTAACAAGTAGATTGTTATTTTTAAGCCATTCTATTATTTTTGTAACTGTACTGTTAATGTCATTAATGTGGTCTTTTAGAGATTGTTTACCATCTGTTTTTACTATTACAGATATGTCGTCAGCAAATAAAATGCATTTTTGTTTAGTTACATCCGGAAGATTATTAATATATACTAAGAACAACAGTGGTCCCAAAACGCTACCCTGTGGAACTCCATATTTGTTTTCTTTAAAATCTGATTTGTGATTTAGGACCATGAGATTGCAGTCTGGTTTGCTTATTTCAACAGATTGACGTCTATTTTGCAAGTAACTTTTAAACCAACTTAAAGCAGTGCCTGTAATGCCACATTTTTCCAATTTTTCCTGTAATAAATTATGTCAAACAAAATCGAAAGTCTTTGACATGTCAAAGAAGAGAGCAGTTGTATAATTGTTAGCATTTAGGCATGTTAGAGTCTCATTTACCATATCGAAAATAGCATGTGTAGTAGATTTTCCCCTCTGGAACCCATACTGTGTGGAATTCAAGATATGATACTTGTCAAAGAAGGATGTGAGTTTAGTATGCATAATTTTTTCATATACTTTTGACAGAATTGGCATGATCGCAATAGGACGGTAATTGTCCTTAATCAAAGAAAATTTAAGTTTATAAGGGAAGATTACAGAGACTATTGATAAATTTATTAAAAATGCCAAGACCCTACCTATTTCTTTGTTGCAGGCCTTAATTACTTTGGTACAAATGCCATCATACCCTTCTGAGTCACTATTATTCAAAGTCATTATTACTTTATTTATATCATATTCGTCAACAGGGTGTAGATAAATAGAATTATTTAAGATTAGATTGGCTTTATTATTTGGTATATTATTTTGGATGTCTTTGTTTGTCAATTCAATAAAGAAATTATTAAAAGTATTTGCGATTTGTGTCGGAATAGTAATTAATTTGTTGTCATATTTAATAAAATCAATGTGATTATTATATTACGGCTTGGTATCTATTTCATCCTGTATGACCTTCCAAGTAGCTTTGCAGGTATTTTTGCTGTTTATAACATATTTATTATTAGTTATTTTTTTAGAACATAGTATGTATTTTTTAAGTAGTTTTGAATAAACTTTATATTTGTGTTTATTTTTAGGAGTTTTTCTCCTATAGTAGTTTTTTCTTAAGACTCTATTTTTCGCGCAGCTATTCCTAATTCCCTTAGATATCCATTTTAAATGGGATTTTGAAGAATGTATAACTATTTTATAAGGGAAGCAGAGTTTGTAAAGAAGGCATAGCCAATCATGAAATATATTAAACGCAGCCTTAGGTTTTGTTTCGCTGTAAACATCGGAAAAGGAAAGGCTTGCCAAATATTGTTTAAACTTCTCTATATTTTCAGAAGAGTAGTCCCTCCTATAGGTGTATAAGGTTTTTGGGGGAGAAATCTTAGATTTAGTACTAAAAACAAGAATTTGCGCAGTATCGTGTTCCGATAAACAGACAGGGAGGTTAAGTCCAGTTGCACCTTTAATATTACTAAATATATGGTCAATACATGATAGGTCTCTAGTGGGTTCCGTGATATGCTGAGTGAGATTATAATTTTGGAGAATATACCGTAAGTTGTTGGTCACATTATTTCTTATTAAAGTATTTATGTTGATATCTCCCACAGTCACAATTTTTTGTTTCAAGTGTTTTGCAAATATTTACTTAGCACAAGCTCCAGCTTATCGAAAAAGCATTCAAAATGCCCTTTTTTTGTAGTAGTTGAAGAATGGTATACGCAGAACCTATAACTGTTCTTTAATTCCATATAATAATATAGCTAAAATAAACATTTAAGCAAAATGTTTTCAATGTTGATAGCCTCTGGAAGATGCTGTTCAGGGCTTTCCACACCTGAGGAGATTTTTGTTATTTTTCTAAAATCATTATTTACAGAGACGGCAACTATAATGATGTTGTATGTATGTAAAACATGAGTATATAAAAAGTATATCCCTTTAGAATAGAAATTGCCAAAGTTATGACCAAAATATAATTTAAGCCGAACAGCGTCATCTGCATAAGAATGACAATTTAAATGACTCTGTTGCGCATCCACTGCATACAGCAAAGGAATTTAATAATTTATAGTACCCCCCCCCAATCTTGGGGTGTTTAAGGCCAGAATGAATAGTTCAGACTAAGTAAGTCATATTTTATATAAATAAGTTATATATGAATAAGGCAAAAGATGTAAATAAATTTAACCACTTCTTCAAAAATTGTGATTGCTCCTTCTTCTATCCATCCATTGTGTCTTATACATAGATAATAAGTATTTTTTTCTTTTTAAAATGTTGTTCTGGCCAGCAAGACATAAGGAAAATTATAACTCACCCTTAAGCTATTTTTATTTATCAAACCAACCCTTGTACAGTGTGCAGGGGTTAGAAGCTCCCTGCTCATTATTTGAGATCCAGTGTTATAAAGTATCTTACTTGATACTGATCGAATTGGATATGAAACGCGACATAATTTTGCTATACTCCACATTGCGCAACCTTAAATCACTCCTGAAACATTAAATACATTCTATATTAAAAATTTAAGGCAAAAACGAATGAAATGAGTTTTATTTATCTATTATAAAAGTCTGCGTGAAGTAAGCACAAAATGATATTTTTCTTAAAAAATATGCAAATATTTAACCAGATATTTAAATACTTATAGTATTACTTACTTAACATAGAGAAATTTACGGTATTGTGATTTATTAGAAGATATGGTGTGGAATTCAAACTATTTGTTTTCTTATTTAATTCAAAATGAGAAATATAAACTAGGTAATTAATATTTTTCTAGGTGCGAGTTCAATAGATAAACAATCAATTATCTAGTTAGTTTGTGCAATCAATCAACATAAATTTTATGCCGTCGGCTCGACCAAATGTGTCATGTCATGTCATCTGTGAACTTCAATAATTGGGCGCGTTTGGCAGAAAAAAGCGCTAGCAAGCGCTTACTAGCGCTAAAATAGTTTTCGGCCAGGACACGATTGCTACTTCAGTAGCGCTGACACAATCCGCCATTTTGCTTATTTAATTTGTTTGTTTTGAAGTAGAGTTTATAAGTTGTTTTTTGCAGTATTAGTTTTAAGTAATATAATGACATGAATAGACATATATACATGTTATTAAAAAATCATGATTGGTAAGTTTTAATATGAATACTTCACAAACATATATTTAAATTAGGTTAGGTTCCCTGGTTAAAACTAACATCGTGTCCTAGAGGAAAATAGCTACTTACGATTTGACAGCGCTTACCGCTTACGATCGCCATTTTGCTTACAAGCGCTTGCTAGCGCTTTTTTTCTGCCAAACGCACCCATTGTCATTGCTTTTGCTGTTAAGATTTGTCAATTAAGGCAAGCAATGGTCTTCAACCATACAGCCTTAATTATTTTGCACTTTCCATATTCATCATAATCAATTCTGAGAACGTTTTGGGGCAAGGAAAAGTCCGACGCGCTGCCCCAATGCCTGTTAGCGAACTTCACATATCTTCAAAATATTTTTTTCTTATTTCCCTGACATGGAGGTTTCCTCATGATGTTTCCTTTACCTACGGGCACGTGATAAATCAGCACTTAAAATTGCAATAAACAATTTCATTAGTGCTGGCTGGGATCAATTCCAGATTGCTCGCGTACTTTGTAATTTACAACGAGCCCTTAGCCCCTGGCCTACCATGGTTAACTAGTAACACGTTACCACAAATTTTTCACATGTGCAGACATTTAATACATAAAATTGCAGTATTTTTAAGTAACAAAAATTATTTTTAACCATTATTTAAATGATAAAATAGGAACAGCAATCTGCCGCTGGTCAATATGCAAAGGCAATAAGAAGAAGAACACGTTTGTTGCATAACATGAACGTTACAAACTCTAAATGAAGAGGTAGGTGGAAACTACGTACTCCTATATTATGCTGTCCATTAAGGGACTCGTAATTTGGCCCATCTTCGATATATCACCAATTTGAAGTATAAATCGTCTAGAGCGTCCTTTGCGGATTCTGCCACTCACGTCTGTAGCATTTTCTAAACTCATTCTCTAAACCATCTGAATCCTAACGATTTCTTGTACATATATATAGTACCCGGTTGACCGAGCTTTGCTCGGTATTTTTCGCTCGGTTTTTTTTATTCGTGTGTTTTGGAAATTATATTTTGATACAAGTTACATACACGTACATACTGATGAAATACAAATAATATTCTTTGATCTTAGCGACATAATAGAAAAAACTGATTTGGTTATTTGAATAAAAAATCATGAGTGCAATTAGTTTAATTAAAATTTTTATGTTTTTAAAAAATACTAAAAAAGGGCTCGAAAAAATAGATTTTCTCAAAAAAGAAAGGAACTTGTTAAAAAAAGTCGGTCGGTCGGTCTGGGCTCGAACCATGTTATTACGATTCTGTGACCGCCCAATTAACCCATTAAGCTATTTATAATCTTTAATAAACCGTCAAAATTTACCTTCTTATTCTAACGATATTGTAGCAGTTTTTCCTTGCCTATAAACACGGACAAAAAGACATTTTCTAAAAATAAATCCTAGCTAAATCAATTTATTGCCCCCGAAACTCCCTGGACACAAAATTTTATGAAAATCGTTGGAGCCGTTTCCGAGATCCCGATTATATATAAATTCCGTTTAAAGGTATAGGATATATATATATATATATATATATATATATATATATATATATATATATATATATATATATGTTCCTTTTTTTTACATTTAAACCCAAATTCATTGATGCCAAATGATGTTTCTAAGGATTATTATCAATAAGAAATATATAATTTTATTTTCTTCGAATATATCGGCAAACGAGAGTAAATAAATTAAGCTAAAAGTTTTTTGTGCCATATATTTCTTTATGTGAAATTGCAGGGATGTTGATTACAAATATTCAGTCAATCCGTTTCCATTTCTTTGTAGTCATTTGATAATGCTTTTACGTTTTGTAGAGCACCGGTAAATTCCCCTTCCTCCATTCCTTCGCCAACATAATGATGTACGAAAGCTCGTTTAGAGTACATCAATGAAAACTTTTTGCACAATCGCTCCCAGGCGATGCGAATTGCCGAAGAGTTCGATACCATTACAACGGCTCTTTGTAGCGCTGCTAAATCACCTCCAGGAACTGTGACCGGTGGTTGATAATTCACGCCAATCTGTAACGTTACGGTTAAATTTACGGGTATCAAAGAGATACGAATACGAGGCGTTCATTTTTAATAGATTTTTAAACTTAAAACTAAATATCGGGGTTTTGATTACTCCCTTAAATTTTATGGCTGAAAGCTTAAAAGTTAAAAAAAATGTGTGCAGAAATAATATGATATTTAATACCACCACGAAAGCTAACTAATAACTGATGTATGGTACATAATTCGTCAGTAGTGTTACTAAAGTATTAGACAAAACTAAAGAGAAGATCTTGAGTCCCTTGGGCGTTGTAAAAGGCAACAATGGAAAATGCCAGGAAAATATTATAGCTTCCGATAGACGACGGTATAACCATCTCGTTTACAACAGACGTAAAATACTAAAACCGGCGACAAAGTTGTGAGACGTCTGGTACTGCGATCGTAATTCCATCTACTAAGCGTGATAAGGCTCCCTAAAACAGAAGAGGTTCATATCCGGCAGTGGACTGTTGAAGGCTGATGTAGAAGATGAAGAAGATCTTGGGAGATTTCTTTTAATAATGCAAATGTCGTTTACCTGACAAACAGGCAAGACTTCTATGAAACAATCTATGGGCAGGCCTATGTTCATTAGATTTTTAATATACTGTAATGTAGGAATGGATGGATACGAGTATACTCTACCTTAAATCCTGTTGGTGACCATGAAACAAATTTAATAGTTCTCATGCTTTTTATTTGATTTATGGCCGCATTAATGTCATTCTGGTTTATATCGCCTCTGAAGAACAAGCAACATGACATGTAATTTCCATGTCTAGGATCGCATTTAACCATCTGATTTGACGGTTCGAAGCAGGACATCATAAGTTGCTGCGTGGACATGGCTTCGTGCATAGCTCGCGACGCTGGCACGAATGGTGCAAACGTTATCAAAGGAAAGTGTATTCGGGGATACGGAATAAGATTTGTCCGGAATTCTACTAATTCCACGTTTAGAGATCCCTCAAATCTCATCGAAGCCGTCATGCAAGATACGACCTGGAAAGATATTTGTTTTTGTTTTTGTTCCATACTGCAATATAATTTGAAAATCATATTTTATTGTACCACCTGAGCAATTAGCCTATTTAAATTTGTATAAGTGGGCCTTGGGACATCTAATGATCTTGCCAATATATCATATAAAGCTTCATTGTCAAAAATAAAACAAACATCTTCAGTGTCCATACAAGCATGCGTTGTCAAAACTGCATTATACGGTTCGACAATGATGGGTGAGATTTTTGGGGCTGGATACACAGCGAACTCTATTTTTGTAAGCTTTCCATAATCTCTAACTAAACCTTCCAATAAAAGGGCAGTGAATCCAGATCCAGTACCTCCACCAAAAGATCGAAATATAATAAACCCTTGGAGGGAATTGCAATCTTCTGCCACAGTTCTAACACGATTAAGTGCCAAATCGATCATTTCTTGACCGATACTAAAGTATCCACGTGCAAAATTACTGGCAGCATCCTCCTTACCAGTGAGTAATGATGTTGGATGAAAGAGTTCTCTATATGTTCCTGATCTTATTTCATCTGGAAAAACGATTAAAATATGTAAAATTAACGTTTAAAAAAACAAATATTTAACAATCGCTGGAACATATCCATCCATCAATGTAACCGGCAGAAAATGCTATACATAGTATTTATGTCCAGCTTGCTCACTGTTGTTAGCTAGTTTCTTAAAAAAATATTAATAAAATCAACAATGAGAAGTTTATAAAAACATAAAATCAACCGATGGGCGTGGGTTCCAAATCAATCATAACAACTCTTGGTACGACTTTGCCTGCACCAGTGTCATTAAAAAATGCCCCATAGCTGGCTTGATCATCTGAGAATGCCAGGATACCATCAGGACGAATGCCATGCTCAAGGCAGTACAATTCCCAGCAAGCGTTAGCTATTTGAACACCTGCTTGTCCAATGTGTATGTGAATTACTTCTTTCTGTAAACGAAAAGCTATTTTTTGTATTCATTATCATTCCACAAACTTTTGTAACCTAAAACACGGCATTGTTGCACTAACTTTAGACATTATTGTGAAGACAAGACTAGAATTTTGAATATTGTTTAAAATTTTTAATTATTTTCTACATTGTGTTGTTTTGATGGGATTGAAATGGCTGAGTGTGATGTGACTGACGCAACTGATTGGACGTTTCCTGTCATTTACTCATCTACTCGTATCTATGAACATCTATGAGGCTTAACTTACCTACTTAATATTTTTAATTTATGATTACAATTTTAAACTTCGAATTTGTACAAAACATAGAGTCCATGTTGGACTACCGGCGAACCGGAGGAGAGTAGCGATAGCGTTTCTTCCCGGTACAGAACTATTTATCATTTTTTGCGGAGTAAATCTGTGCACACAAAAATAATCGTCTGTCACTATGAAACTCACAAATAACAAGTAAAATACTATACTAATAATTTCACACACACATACAGCATATCACTATCGCTCGGTGGCAGCGACCACTCGGATACAGACTCGGATCAGTCATTCGATAAATCCACATACTGTATGAGGGCGAGCGACCTGTGATGATAAACAAATTCGAAATAACATGACCGTTATCAGTTATCACCGTAATTATTAAGTTTAAAAAGAAGTAAACAGAAATAATGTGATTAAAAATTACTTAAATATGAAAAGTAATGTCATCTTTTTGTAAATTTAACGTGTCGGATCTCTTTCCGCAGCAAAAAACTGGACGATTCGGCATTTTTTATAGGGCGAGCACTGCGGCTGCAATTAGTTTTATTGTATGCACAGGATCGCGAGGATTTGTACTTTGACAGAGGAGATTTTTAAACCGTGTGGGATGCCGAAAGCGTCATATTCGTGACGATTACAAGCTTTTTCAAACTGATGCACATGGGCTATTACTATAATGTGGTGCGAATTATTGATTGAAATTGAAACGAGATATATAATTTAATGCGGATTAATTGTTGTAACCAGCACCTATAGGTCATCTTGTGAGGGGATTTCGCTGTACATTTCGCTAATGTTATTTTTAGAATATCACTTAAAAGTACCAGAAAGTACTTATTAAATAATTTAATCAATCGAATCATCTAATGTTACCCATAAGCTGGGCGCTTAGGTCAAGAAATAAACAGTTTTGTGCAGATTGAGGTCTAGACGAAGACATTGGTAATCCAAAATAGTTTTTTTTTTGTTGGACTGGGTAATGATATAATTTACAACGCTTATGTTGGACGTTTTGTAGGTAGACACATTGGTTGACTGCATGACTTATTATATGAAACTGGTGCGAGAAGAATGCTTGTTTGGCTGTATGAGTATTGTTGTTGGTTGTATGGAGCCTGTGCGAGACGAATGCTTGGTTGACAGCGTGACTGTTGTTGTTGGTTGTATGTAGCCTGTGCGAGACGAATGCTTGGTTGACTGCGTGACTGTTGTTGTTGGTTGTATGCAGCCTGTGCGAGACGAATGCTTGGTTGACTGTGACTATTGTTGTTAGTTGTATGGAGCCTGTGCGAGATGAATGCTTGGTTGACTGTCACTGTTGTTGTTGGTTGTATGCAGCCTGTGCGAGACGAATGCTTGGTTGACTGTGACTGTTGTTGTTGGTTGTATGCAGCCTGTGCGAGACGAATGCTTGGTTGACTGTGACTGTTGTTGTTGGTTGTATGCAGCCTGTGCGAGACGAATGCTTGGTTGACTGTGACTGTTGTTGTTGGTTGTATGGAGCCTGTGCAAGACGAATGCTTGGTTGAATGTGTGACTGTTGTTGTTGGTTGTATGTAGCCTGTGCGAGACGATTGCTTGGTTGACTGTGTACTGTTGTTGTTGGTTGTATGCAGCCTGTGCGAGACGAATGCTTGGTTGATTGTGACTGTTATTTTTGTTTGTATGTAGCCTGTGCGAAACGAATGCTTGGTTGACTGCGTGACTGTTGTTGTTGGTTGTATGTAGCTTGTGCGAGACGATTGCTTGGTTGACTGTGTTGTTGGTTGTATGGAGCCTGTGCGAGATGAATGCTTGGTTGACTGTGACTGTTGTTGTTGGTTGTATGTAGCCTGTGCGAGACGAATGCTTGGTTGACTGTGACTGTTGTTGTTGGTTGTATGCAGCCTGTGCGAGACGAATGCTTGGTTGATTGTGACTGTTATTTTTGTTTGTATGTAGCCTGTGCAAAACGAATGCTTGGTTGACTGCGTGACTGTTGTTGTGTTATACCTTGGACGATTGCGTTCTGTGTTGTTGGTTGTATGGAGCCTGTGCGAGATGAATGCTTGGTTGACTGTGACTGTTGTTGTTGGTTGTATGCAGCCTGTGCGAGACGAATGCTTGATTGATTGTGACTGTTGGTGTTGGTTGTATGCAGCCTGTGCGAGACGAATGCTTGCTTGACTGTGACTGTTGTTGTTGGTTGTATGGAGCCTGTGCGAGATGAATGCTTGGTTGACTGTGACTTTTGTTGTTGTTTGTATTGAGCCTGTGCGAGTCGAATGCTTTGTTGACTGTGACTGTTGTTGTTGGTTGTATGCAGCCTGTGCGAGACGAATGCTTGGTTGACTGTGACTATTGTTGTTGGTTGTATGGAGCCTGTGCGAGATGAATGCTTGGTTGACTGTGACTGTTGTTGTTGGTTGTATGCAGCCTGTGCGAGACGAATGCTTGGTTGACTGTGACTGTTGTTGTTGGTTGTATGCAGCCTGTGCGAGAAGAATGCTTGGTTGACTGTGACTGTTGTTGTTGGTTGTATGCAGCCTGTGCGAGACGAATGCTTGGTTGACTGCGTGACTGTTGTTGTTGGTTGTATGTAGCCTGCGCGAGACGAATGCTTGGTTGACTGTGACTGTTGTTGTTAGTTGTATGGAGCCTGCAAGACGAATGCTTGGTTGAATGTGTGACTGTTGTTGTTGGTTGTATGGAGCCTGTGCGAGACGAATGCTTGGTTGACTGTTACTGTTGTTGTTGGTTGTATGGAGCCTGTGCGAGAAGAATGCTTGGTTGAATGTGTGACTGTTGTTGTTGGTTGTATGGAACCTGTGCGAGACGAATGCTTGGTTGACTGTGTGACTGTTGTTGTTGGTTGTATGGAGCCGGTGCGAGCCGAATGCTTGGTTGGCTGCGTTGCGGCTGTTGTTCGGTGTATGGAGCCTGTGCAAGACTAATGCTTATTTGGCTGTATGACACAAAAATTATCCCTCTGATCCGATTGACCCTTTTGCTATAACTATTTACCACAAAAAGTGTAAAACAAAATAATATAATTATAAATTCGCTTCAGAAACCCTGGGATTACTGCGTCTTTTGGCAAGAGTCGTGATTGGACATTCCTGTTTAAAAAACCATATTATCTTGGGATTAAGCATTTCAAGTATGTGCCGATTCCGTTCTTTAAAGGATGAAACAAATCATCTGGGTAACTACGTACTTAGCTCTAAAAATTTTCACAACTAAGCAAGTCGTTTACACAAGTTGAAAAACGCCACCAACGCGAGGTATCTCCTCATTTAACACGCTCAGATCACGTTTCGCCAATAACTTGGTATAACCACAACCACCGAAAAACGATAACTCTTATAATTTCGGCCATGAAAGCGATATAGCAGGCAACGCTTTGTAATTTAGACTTGGCATAGTGTATAATTTGATCACCACCCTGTGTGTGAATCTTCTAAAACATTGCAACATTCCACGACAATCGATTTGACTGTGATAATTTTGTCATATCAAGAATAGTAGTAACGATTACTTGCAGTAGAAGAAAATTAAAGAAATACGTAAAATTTTATAAATATGTTAGAAAAGTGCAAAAGTTAATAAAACTAAAATTAATACTAAATTATATGAATGTATGTAAGAAAAAGAAAAACTTAAATAATAAAATTAAATTATATACAATTAAGGTAGAATAAAATAGTGTTTTAATTTAGAAATTTCATTACTTAAAAACTCCCTACAAATATCAAATAAATATGCATCGGCTCAGGAAGAGATAAAAAAACACATATTGGCCATGAATGATCTGGTAAAGTCGTGTAAATATAATAAGGTAAATAACAAAAAAAAAGTTAAATAGTAAATACCATGTTCATCGGGGACAATATGTGTAAGAAATAATGTAAACATTAATGACTCCATAACAGTTTTTCTAAAATAAAAAAATAGCCCAAGCTACTTATTATAACATCAGCCATCTGCCAGTGAAAATCGGTGCAGCCCTTTCGGAGATCTGCCAGAACAAACAGACAGACCGACCGACAGACAGACAAAAATTTTAAAAATTGTTTTTTGTTGTAAGTACCGTTTCTACTTTAATGTGCATTTAATAGAATGATGTATACTTCAATTTTATTTATTTGTTTAGATGCACATACAATTATCTTGTTTACATTGCCTTACATACAAGGTTGGCCACAGGGAAATCATATAAGATACGATTTAAATTTATAAGTGAATAATTTGTTATGTAATAAAAATTAAAATTACAATTATAACAATAGAATTATTTTGATAGACATAAATTATTTAATTAAGAAATTTTTGACTACGGATGGGTATTACCTATCCAAATGTAATTTAAGATAAATAGCAAATGCGTTTATTATTTATGTACTAGCTCAGCCTAGGACTTGGCTACCTAGACATTTGCTTCTATTGAGCAGCAGAGTAATGAGTTGATATGTAATTTGGAATTAGTTTCAGGTAATTTAAATTAGAAAATGAGACAATAGAGTAATCTCTAGCAGTTATAATAATTTTAATGATTTAGAATGTAGCTTACAAATCCTTAACAATTGTAATTGTATGACTTGACAAAATGATAGTAAAATTGTTTACACCTGGTGCATCAATATATACAAGGTAGAATAGGCAAAGAGCTAAAAATTTGATTGTTCTTAAATAACAACAGTATTCATATTTTATGTATCTATTACTAAAAATTAGTTAAAACTTACAACTTAATGTTTAACTTCAGTAATCACCAGGTGGTCAGTGTTTCAAAAGAGAAACTGTTTTAAGAGGTGGCTCCTTAACATTAGCAGGTAAATTGTTGATTAAAACTACTTTTACGGATTTTATCGCGTTTGTTTATGTGTAGTGTTCGCGTAAATAAAGGAAATCATTAAAAAAATCCTGGAAGCTTCCTCCACTAATATTAAATTTAGATCATTGTTTAAATCATATGGTCTTTTATTTTATTTTTTGGGCTAACGCGTATTGCTTAATCTAGTGCAACATGTATAGATTGATATCTACATGTAAGATTATAGTTCTTTTTAGAGAGATTTTTAAAAATAACGGTTCAACCGTTGCATAATATTTCAGAAAATATACTAAATTTTACCTATATAAAATTCATTGTCATACACAAAGTTTAAAAATGTTATTAAACTAAGTTTGTATAAAAGGGGTTATTATAATTTTAAGGAATTTATGGATGATAATAGCCCCTGGGAAAGGTGATCATTATCAAGCTATTTCTAATTTGTTTTGTGTAGCATACATGATTGTAAGCTGTTATTTTATTAAATAAAAAGTCCTACTTGGTTTTCGCTGATTATTCCTAGGACAGAGTTTTTTTCCGAACCAGTGGTTAGTTAAAAAAGTGACTCTCAATAAGAATAATTTATAATCTATATTGAATAAAAAAGTTTCTGTTTCTGTACAGCTTCGCACATGATAAAGCATAATAAACCACTTTTGTATGATCTGGCCCTTAACTATGTAGTACTATTAATTATCCTGTGCCTTAACATTGGGTCAAAGTCTGTTACGATATAAAAGAACATTGGGATATGTTATCCTTGGTTTGAGCATTCATCAAAGCATTCATTATAAATATTTTTAATTCTTTCTTTCGTTAACTAGTCAAAAGTCAGAGAGCCTGGCAATATGTCAGCACTGTTATTGGAACCTCTCATCGGAAAACCAGAAAGCTTACGTGGCGAGCTGGTTTTTGGACCTATTTCTGTTTTATATCTCCGACCGCTCAAGCCATTTGGTTATCCAACTAGACGGCTAAAGCTGTCCCTCCACACTCGCTCCGGTGAGCTGTCTCGTCGAACTCGCATATTTGAGCTGTCTCGTCGAACTCGCACAAGCGAGTTGTCTCGTCGAACTCTTACAAGCGAGCTGTCTCGTCAAACTTGCACAAGCAAGCTGTCTCGTTGTACTCAGACAACTCGCTTGTGATGGTTTGACGCAGCACAAGTGAGTAGTCTCGTCAAACTCGCACAAGAATTCATTGGCTCGATCGGAGATAGACCACGCACAAAATACATGCGTAAAATAGTAGCTTAAAGCTGCTGTGTTTGGTTAGAGAAACGGGGACTCTTTTTACTGGAACAAGGCATTTCATCTTAGTCATTAGGGGTGACAACGCATCTGTATTCTTATTCTTAATTGGGGATGGATGCAGATGTTTATGAGCCACAGTATCCACTTACTGTCAAGTGGACTGTGTGCTCGTTTGTTACTATTATTCTGTAAAACAAACAAGCAAGCTGTCTCGTTGACCTCGCATAAGTGAGCTGTTTTGTCGAACTCATATAAGCAAGCTGTCTCGTCAAACTCGCGCAAGCGAGCTTTCTTGTCGTCTCTTTGAAACCACACCACCGGTAAGTCCCTGCACAGCACACTAATAGCGCTGGTGGGTAGTCGCACATGCCACTGTCGTAATTCAGTAGGATAACTTAGCATTTCCAACCAAAGACTCAGCATCAAGGCATCATTTATCTTCTACGTGTAAAGTTCGCTATTGGCTTGGTTATTTCACCAATTGTAAATATCCAAGCCGCGGCTGTGTTGAAAATCTTCGACGTTCTTTTATTTCAAGTTTTTTTTATTCGCTAAGGCGACCTAAGATAGTATTCTCATCAACTAATTGTAGGTTAAACTTCCTCAAAATCTGCCAAGAATTCCGCGAGCACTAGCATAGTATTTTTAATAATTTAAAAAAATACGTCAAATAAGATTGTATGGATATAGATACGTTAGTACTCTTATTAGTTTGTGGATATAGATGCCTTAGCCTTTAAAAAATTAAAGAATCGACTGAAATTCATGGAGGTTAGAGAACAGGAGAACGATCGCTACGTGCTAAAGCATAGCCCGCCTGTCCCTGAAAATTTGTAGAATTTAAGCCACGCTGCCGTTGGTAAGTAGTATCTGCGAAGTAATTTTTGACAAAAAGAAACATTAAAAATGTTAAAATATTATATAAAATAATAATATTAATAAATCAATAATAATTAATAATTTATATTAGTAGTAATTTATAACAATTAAAATTATTGAAACAACTTAACGATCGCATTGCCTCACTTATTTTGTCCATATTTCTGGGACACTATTTTCTACAGTGATAGTTCTCCTGTTCTCTTACCTCCATGGACAAATTCGTGAAGGTTAGAGAACAGGAGAACAATCACTATGTACCAAAGCATAGCCCGCCTGTCCTTAAAAATTGTAGAATGTATAGCGGCGCTGACGTCGGTGAGTAGTGACTGCGAAGTTAGCTGTTTATGAGTACAAGTAGATGAAGATAGTTGAATAATGTACAAATTTTCTCCGCGTCATTGGTGAGAAAATTTTCATAATTTTGTAATTTTTGATAAAAGGAAACATTAAAAAATGCAGAAATATTTTATTGTGCATGGATGTGCAAGTGGTTTAGCAACTGATCGAAAAAATAGACTGAAAATGACTTTTATTGACCGAACCGATAATTGTCCATATTTCTGGGATACTATTTTCTACGGTGATCGTTCTCCTGTTCTCTAACCTTCATGGACAAATTGATAAGTGACAAGTATGGAGTGTAGAGGTAAGGAGTACAGACTCTGTATAAAAAGTGTCCATAGGAAAGCGATAAATAAGGGTGGCGCCACTGTAGCTACAGTCTAAATTTTAAAGAACTTCTTATAATTTTTTTATCGAACAGACTTTCACTATAATTACTTTTGCAATAATTATTTTATTGCTTTCAAAATTTTTATTTTCATAACCACTCTCAACGTATTTTACGGCGATTTTTCATACCCTGTAGCGAGCGCAGTTTTGGAGAGTTTTTGAACTTTTATTTACTGCTTACAGATGGACACATTTTCAACGATTCTCCCATGGGACATTGTCCTCCTTACCTCTAAACTCCATGGTG